GATCAATGCTGCATAACAGCAGCTGCCGCACAACACAGTGACCAGTGCCAAATGGCTCATGCCAGAGCCTGTTAAAGGTGCAATTCTCCACAATCCTGACTCTGAATGCACCCTCTTGGGTGTCAGGCCTTGTGCTTTTACTTCTCCCTGGGGTGGAGGTCCACCATCCTCCAATTTTTGGAATAAGCCCCAGGCCACCATACCCAGTGCGTCTGCGCTGAATGGGTTGGTACCTGCAGTGCTTCCCAATTTTCAATCTGATAGTCATACAGCAAACAGCTGGATCATCAGAGGTCCCCTCACATTATTCAGCATCACTTACCACAGAACAGTGCACAGCTGGTCTGCTGGAGGAAGTACATCACAGCTTGCTCATCTGCATCCAGTTGGCAGCCCGAGCTGATAAGAAGCCCAACGCTGGAAAAGCCAGTGACTTTGCCAGTAAGAGTTACGTGAGGGTTCCCAGAAACAGAGCAACAGGGGGTAGTACAGGACAAAACTGAGATGCTTTGGCTGAGCTGCATGCATGTTGCACAAGGGTACGTCGTGATCTGAACACGATGGCAATGCAATCTGCAGCTCAGGGGTAGTCGTCAGCGCGGAGGTGCTTTCGGAGCAGAACGACAGAGCAAGAGAGAGAAAATAGCAAGAGAGGGGCACTTGCAGAGCCAAGCACACGTAATCTTGGCAACCTCTGCTGCGTAAAAATATTTAAAAAACCATGAGACTTTTAAAAGACAAAAAGCTTTTTTGGTTGTTTTTGTTTGCTCTCCAATTAAATACTGCTTTCTCTTTTAAGAAGTCTTTTATTTGAGAGCAAATAAAAAGAAGTCTTTTACTTGAGAGCTGGGAAGGTTGCAGCCTTCACGGCTTCTGCTTTCTTCCGTCTTAAAAAAGAACTGACTCTGCATTTCATGTGCTGTGGACTGGTTAATAATATAAGAGGCCTCCTGATTTCTAGAATGAAACCGAATTACTGGAATGATTTACCAGAAGTCATTACCTGTAGCTATGGTTGCCTCCACGTGCACCCAGACTGGCTTCTTAATGTCCCCTCCAAAAACGGCATTACTGCAACCCATGCTCTCCTCTCCAAGGTCTGTGCAGACCGTAGCGCGCTGTATAACTGTTCCTGGGTGTTTTCATCTGGGAACCAAATGTAGGTCAGTAGTCAAGGCCATTTGGGCAGAGGTTTTAGCTGTTCAGCTTCCCCATGAAATCACAGGGATCAGCCTGCCAGAATGGATGATTCAAGGGTGTAGGTTGTAGTCTAAGGCCGTAGGCAGACAGGGTTCTTTGGGTAAACCCGATATCTTTTATTAGACCAACTCAAATAGGTGGAAAATTTCTTCTGTGCAAGCTTTTGGGTAGAAATACCCTTTGCCAGACTGGGGAAGTCTCTGCGGATGGTCTGTGCTCTTCCTCTCCATCCAGGAAGAGCTGAGACCATCTGCAGATGCTTCCTCAGCCTGGCGAAGGGTATTTCTACCCGCAAGCTTGCAAAGAAGAAGTTTTCCACCTATTTGAGCTGGTCTAGTAAAAGATATTGGGTTTACCCAAAGAATGGATTATTTGCACTCAAATGCTTATGGCATCATGTGGGGATCCCTTGTTAAAATCCTACCACCCAACGAAAGAGAGAGCTGGAGATAAATCTTTTCCTCTAATGCAGCTGCCTGATTTCTGGAGAATGATCCCTGGCAGGTTTCCAGGTCTTATAAAAATCCTTAAGGACAAGTCTCCCTGCTACTTTGGAGTCAGCCAGCTTGTACCAAATGTGCAGCATTTCCTAGTGAAAGGTCACACGGGGGAGCACATGTCTCCTGGAAAAGCTCTTCCCCCCCAGTGCTTTCTGTCAAACTTCTTTTTTGTTTCTCAGGTACAACGCACAAGTATTCATAGCTGAGGATACTGCATTGTGCACACTGGTTTTACCTTCCTCTCGAGAAATGAAGGTTTTGTTTCAGCGAATAACTTCTGTCATGACCCAAAGGGTATGATTTTGTGCGCGCTTCGGCACTGCAGAATTATTTCCCGCCACATGGAGCTTTCTTTGCATGGTGCAATTCTCAGCTAGGTAGAGACAACCCCGGTGCAAAGGAGTTCCCGCCACCCGTATGTAAATTTGTTTCCCACTATTGGCTGTTTCTAAAATTATTCCCACGTGGCGGCTAGCGATTGGCTTGCTGGCCGTATAAGAGGCTTGAGCGGTTTCCGCCCAAGTTGGAGGAGGAGAAGGAGGACTTCACATCTCGTGAAGAACTCTAAGCGCGCTGTGGAGCTTAACAAACCCAGCATGTGCCTTAAGAAGGATATAGGGGCCTGATCAACCTCTAGCCTCTCCCTGTCGCCGCCTGATCCCTCGACGTACCCTTCCCTGCGCGCTCGTGGAGAGTCACCTTTCAGACTCTCATCGTGGTATCCAGCGCTCTTCTCGGGTTATTTCGTCCGGTTGATGCGACGGGCTCGCGGTTCTCGAGCTCTCAGCCGGCCTTGGACCAGAGTTCACGCTTAGAACTCTTGTCCGCTCTTCTTCTTTCCTATCTGTAACTGCAACGCAAGCAAGTTTTCCTGCCTGCACCGCGACCATCTATGGTGTAAGTAAAATAATCTTTAATCAACCGCTACACGTCCGTGCCTAATTCTAGTCCGCCGTGCTGAATTCCCCGACCCACGTGCCAGGGCTGCTGGCCACAGCCCGCTGCACGCCCCCGAAAGCCTCGGACCACTCCCGGCCCGCACAACTTCCTTCTCTGGACAACAGGTTTGTCACATGCTATCAAAGTGCATGTTTTCCGGATCCCTTGTTAGAAGATATGGGGCTGGTCCATCTTGGGAGGGTCCATTGCCCTGATCTGTAGTATCTGAGACTGAGTCTTTTCACGTATCAAACTTCACAACCCTCTTGTGCTGTTAAATGCATATTGCAGATGGGGAACTGAGGCACAGAGAACCCAAGTGACACATCTGCCATCACACAGGACATCACAGGGGGGATTTGATAGCAGCCTTCACCTCCCTGCAGGGGGGCTGCAAAGAGGATGGAGCTGGGCTGGTCTCAGTGGGGGCAGATGACAGGACAAGGAGCAATGGGCTCAAGCTGCAGCAAGGGAAGTTGAGGTTGGATATTAGGAAAAACGTTCTCACTAGGAGGGTGATGAAGCACTGGAGCAGGTTACCTAGAGCGGTGGTGGTGTCTCCATCCATTGGAGGTGTTGAAGACCCAGGTAGACAAAGCTTTGTCTGGGATGATGCAGTTGGGGCTGGTCCTGCTTGGAGCAGGGGGTTGGACTAGATGCGACCTCCTGAGATCCCTTCAACCCTCATTTTTGATCATCCTATGATCTCAGGCATAACTGGGACTTGAACTCTAGACTTTTGAGTTCTCAGTTTGTACCCAAAATATCAGACCATCTTGTCTCTCTAGTCCAGTAGTTCTCAACCTTTTTAGACTCAAGGCACCTCTCCAACACTTTTCAGAAGTCAGAGGCACTCCATTTAAAAAACAAACAAACTATATTATGCACGTTCGAATATAAGCATTGTCATTCTATTACTAATTATCCTGGTGTTAATTGATTAGATAATGATATAATTATATTCACCCCACTGGAACTGTGCTGCCCACCTCAACAGCCAGACTGGGAAGTGGCCGTGGCAGGAGCACGTCTCACCCCGCACGGCGTGTCTCCTGAAGACAGAAGCGTGTGGGGCAGTCTCAGCCCGTGGTGGTAGAGGTGCTGATGTCTGAGGACCCCGGCACATCCTCATGACACATGGGGTTGAGAACCACTGCTCTAGTCATTCTCAGTGGCTGAGATTCTGGGCTGGCTGGTCCACCTCTCTCATCCCACGAACTGCTCCTGGCCAAGGAGGTAGCATGCATGCAATTGCAGCAGCACACTTCAGGGCACTGCTCCTGCGCACGGTGGGATTGTGATTCAGACATGGCCAAAACAGCAGCTAGCATCCAATACATCACAGGGAGGTGCTGCTTTTCCTCATGCTGTGCTGGGATCAATTGTGCATTGTGTAGAGGGTTTGCAAGGTGCCTTCCTGCAGTCAGCCCCCAAGGCTTTATGTTTGCTGAGACCTCACTTGACATCTCCTCCCGGTTCAAGCTTGAGCTTTTGATGATTATGCTTTGGGCATAATTACCTAAACAGTTAATAATGCACCTGCCATATAGTCATTTTATCAAGACTGTATTCCCTGAGCTTATTTATGAGACTATCACGGGTGACAGCATCAAAGTCTTACTGAAGTAGGAGAGGTACATCACATCCAAGGCTGCCTCTTATTCACCAGGTTACAACATTAGCATAGAAGCAAATCCGTTGAGCAGGCATGACCAGTTCTTGATAAATGCATGTTGGCTGTTATGTAACCTTGTAACCTGCTGACAAATGGAGTATTTCAGGATATGCTCTGAGCCCCTGAGATTTTTGTGGGTATCAGAGCTCTACTGGCATTTTGTAATTCCCTGGTCTTCCTCCTTCCCTTGTCTAAAGATGGGCATTATAGTCATCCTTTTCCAGTATCCTGAAACCTCAGTTGACCTCCATCAGCTCTCAAAGACAGTAGCCAATCTTACCTCAGCCCCTTTCTTGGGTCTCTAAAACGAATCTTATCAGGCCCTGCTGATTTGAAAATATCTGGCTTACCTTATATTTGTTGTTATAGCTTGTATTGAGCCAGCAGTATAATCGGGAGAACTGAGCAGTATGATTGGGAGAACTAGCTTGTATTGGCCAGCAGTATCATTGGGCAAACTCTTGGACAAGTGTTTGGGCATTAAGTGCCCTTCTTCAGGTCACTGGCTTATCTTAATAATGACTAAGGTGCTCTTTCTCAATGGCAGGTTGAGTATCTACTATTGAAGGTTTTCTTTTGGGGCCAGCTGCATTGGTCTGGGGCTATATGATAGACAGAGTCTTTTGGTTTGAGTTGATATCTTTTATTAGACCAACTTGGAGGTGGGTTGATGTTTCTGGCAAGCTTTTGGATAGCACGGCATCCTTTTTCAAGCTAAGTGGAGTGCAGGAGGGGGTGACTCCCCTGTGTATACTGGGGAATCTGTCCATAGTCTGTGCAAGTGGATATGGCAGCTGCATTGCTCTGAAGCCAATCATACTTTCTGCATTGAGCAAGGAGGGCAGGAAAAATATTTTTTTGGTGGGTTATGGTATGAGTACCCGGTATGGTTGGGGTTTAGGCAGACTGTAGTGAGGACAATAGCTCCTGTCTCTGTTCAGTCCATGATTTTTCGTGTCCAGAGCGGTGATGGCGTTGAGTTCATGGGCGCGTCTTTGGAAGGTGCTTTGTAAATTTCCTTGGAGGATGAGGACTGCGAGGTCTGACAGAGAGCGGTCATCACAGCCCAAATCACCACTAATGGATCCAAACCAGGCCTGGAAAATTGATGCAAAATGTTTCAACACATCTCCACAGTCCCCACAATATCTACACCAGAAAACAAAACCAGCCCATCCCTGGATCTTACACTTGTACATCAAAGAATGTGATATACTTCATCCCATGCACAAAATGCTCAAACGGTAGGTACGTGGGAGAGTATATCCGCTTGCACAGACTATGGACAGATCCCCAGTGTACACAGAGGAGTCACCCCGTCCTGCACTCCACTTAGCTTGAAAAAGGGTACCGTGCTACGCGAAAGCTTGCTGGAAACATCAACCCAAGTTGAACCAACTCCAAGTTGGTCTAACAGAAGATATCAGCTTGAACCAAAAGACTCTGTCTATCTACTATTGAGTTACTCAGTAGCTCACATTTTTTTCTTGATGTTAACTGCACTCACTGTCTCATAGCCTTTTTGAAAAACTAAAGTGAAAAGAACATTAAACTCTTCAGCCTTCTCTGTATCCCTTGTTATTAACTCTTCCACATTTAGAAAAGCACTTCTGCTTTTGTAGGTCATCATCTTGTTTCTCATGTATTTATAACATGACTTTTGTTGCCTTTTATGTCCTTTCCTAGCTGTATTTCAACTCATGCATTGGTCTTTCCGATCATGTCCTTAATGCTTGTACTGTATTTCTATATTCATCCTTAGTAACACGGCCAAATTCCCACTTTTCAGCAGATTCCCTTTTTAGTTTCAAGTCATTGAAGAATTCATGCTTTAGCCAAACTGGTCTCTGTCCTTTGACTTCTATAAACCAGTGATGGTTGATGCCAGAGTGGGTGTGACAAGGAATTTATATACCGTTTCTCTAATATACGTACTTTGTTCCATTGTCAGAGATAAGTGCCTAGGATACTGAACTCCACCACCAGCCACTGGAGAAGGAGAGTCCGGTCAATGGTGCGCCTCTGGCATAACTGCACATCCAGAAGGGCCCGGAGGTGGGTGGCGGCAACCCTGAGCTGGCATCCCTGCTGGCCACCGTGGCCTCTCCGCCACGTCCCGATGCTGGACCTGCAGAGCCATGACACAGAAGCCTTTCATGAGAGTTTGCAACATTTCAGAGACAAGATGCTCTGCACCAGCCCATGCTACCCAACCTCAGATTGGGGGTCAGCCATGCACAGGACCATGGTAAGCCAGGCTGGGCAGACAGGCCCAGGTGGCTGCTGGCTGAGCCTCCTCCCCCCCCATCCCTGTGTGCTCTTCTGGGGCTCTGGGTGCTGCCCCACCCCCTTTCCAGGGCAGGACAGGCCAGACTCCTGGCAGCACCTGCTGTCCCAGGTCCAGACCCCTCTTCCACACCTCTCCCTCTGCAAGCCAACTTCTCTGCTGCACTGCCGCCCAGTTCACAGTGCCTGGACCGCAGGGCAGGGAGCTCCTGGACAAGTGGGATGAGGAACTGGCTGCACCCCCCCTCCCCACAGGGGGCCTGTCTTAGGCTTAGTGCAGTCCTTCCAGCTGGCAAAGTTGTGGAGCTGTCTGGTGTCCTCAGCTTGCAGGGTGTGCCATGCAGGCACATGGCCAGGACCCCTCCCGGGGAGGAGTTGGTGCTGCTGGTAGCCGGCTGTGTCATAGCTACCCATTCCTCGTTGTGGGGTCTGGGGCTCCGCAGCGGGCAGGGCAGGCACTGGCCAGGGCTCCCCGAGCTGCTGGTGGAGGCTGCAGCCGGGGAGCTGGGCAGAATGAGGCGCTGCATGCCCGAGGGTCCCTCCTCCAGTGATGTGTCACCGGAGGAGCCCGGGCGGGGTGAGGTATAACCCGCAAGGTTGCAGCCTGGGTCCTGGGGTACCAAAATATTAGTCAGTTGTCACATAAAGGGCATGGTCTCGTGGGCATGGCTGGACTGATTGATTGTGGTTGGTTACGGTGACCCACTGTGCCTGCAAAGCCTTGACCTTTATGCGGCACTGCTATGCTGACCGGTCATGCCCTTGTGCAGTCCCGGGCCTGGGCGAGGCCATGCTGGGTCTTGCATTGGCTCTTTGGGCCCCACATGGCTGTCCTGGTGTTGCTGGCCTGGGCAGCTGCCAACAGTGCCCAATGGAGAGCCACAGCATGGGACAGTCCAGTGCAGGGCCCCATGGCAGAGGCTATGCCTATGCAGGTGCAGGGCAGGCTGTTGGGGGCATGCTGCATGCAGGTGGCACTGACCCTGCTGCCAGAAGTAGCCTGCAGAGCCCTAGGGGGCTGATAGGGCTGGGCAGGAGCTGCAGCACCCTTCAGCATGCAGGTGGCTTGACGGCACTGCCTTGACGGCACTGCCAGGCAGCAGTGCTGGGGTGCTGGCAGGCAGGCACAGCAGGCCTGCCCAGGGGGACACATAGGCCCTGCAATGCCCTCAGGCTGCCTGTGGTGTGCGCTCCGGGGCAGGGGAATTGCCCCTAGTGGCTGGGCAGACCCAGGAGCAAATTTGCCCCCAGGTTGTGTCTACATGTGCATTACCTTGCAATAACTAATCCCACTTAAATTTACTGCCTGTATTTGCAGGTAGCAAGTTTAAGCATAATGAAGGGTTTTTACTGCACAGTAAGTATGCACACGTGTAGATGCGTATACTTACTGTGCAGTAAACTAGGCAACTGCATAGTAATGCGTGTTGTGTAGATGTACCCACAGATGCCTACAATCACAACCTTCTGATTACCATCTGGACTACATTGCTTAGCAGATGGTCTGAGTAGCTACAATGCACTGAATTAGCCATTAAGTGCCTGGTCATCAGGAAACAGTGTGAGCATGTGTGCAATTGCAAGCCCAAGGCAATTCCTGTATGGGGAGGGAAGGGCACATATATAGCTGTGCACACGCAGTAAACTTGTGCTTGCATTTGGACAACTTTTACAACCCCTTTGCTATGACAGCTGCAAACTCAGGAGAGAGAGAGTTCAGAGGAACAGGTTAAAATAACCAGTGATAACACAATGAGAGATTTAAGCAGCTAAGCATTCAACTGCTAGGCTACAGAGTGAAGTATGTTGCTACCTACTAGGAAGCGTGGCAACAGCACCAGTCAGTTGTCAATGCATCTTTTCATCTCTTAGTTTTGACACCTCCCAGAACCACTCTAAACTTCCCTTTCTATCTCTTTTCTTGCATATAGTTATGTCAATTAGACATGACTCACTTCCATCTCGCCACATTTGGTTAACAAAGACACACGCTTAATTTAACAGGTTTCTATACATGAGTCAATGGTTTTTTTATCAAAGCAAAATGTCACGTTATAACAACTGTTCCTTTAAACTGTGAGTAGCACGGCACTTTCCAAGAGCATCTGTGAGCACTTGCCCTCGCTTCATGTTGAAGACCTTGGCTAACAACATTTTTTTTCCCTCTGACATTGCAGGAAGTAGTGAGTTGAAGGAAACTTTAAGCAGGTGGTACCTGAAAGGGAGCTGCAGAGTCCTACCAAAGGGCTGAAAATCCCTTGAAAGATGACAGACAGCTTCCAGACCATGTCAACTATCTGCTCCTATCCTTGGCAATGCATGGGAGAATCACTGGGTCTCAGGACTCGCATTGACCTCTTCCCCTAGCAATGCTGTGGGCACGGGTAATGTTCAGTCAAGCTCACAGACGGCTGCAATTATCAGTCTCTGCAGAGAGTTAGTTTCTGATAGCAAATGCCAGGGGAGGCCAAGTCAAACAGGCTTCCCGGAAACCTTGGGTATTTTCAGGGCTTTCTAATTCCTACCCACTCCTACGTGCTCCAGTGAAGAATGTTGCACCCTGTTTTGCTCCATTTTAAAATCCCTTGTAAGTCTGTGAAATGCAGAGGCCTCTGGCACCTCATTTCTTACACGGTGCTGTTTGGTCTGTAAAGCCCTTCTGTATGAATGACGCCATGGCCACTTCACTCCATTTGGTTGCAATACGCTGCTTTGGTTTGAAGCACTGGGTGAGGCAGTGATTCTTAACCTTTTAAAACTCAAGGGTCCCCTTTTTGGACTCAAATCCCCCTCAGAAAATTCCAACTCTGAGCTTTCACTCATTTCCTGACTACGGAAAAATATTAAAGCAATTCTTCTGTTGCAAATAACTCAGCAAGACCCCCGCAGGTCAGCATGGCTCGGACACTCTGGATACCTATTTGAAATGTCTGGGTTAATTTTGTGAATCACGTGTAGGTATTTTCACATGTAGCCATGTTAATATTGCACAGCATCCTTAAAAGGACCTCTTTGTAGGCAACCCGGTTGAGAATCACTGCTCTAGTAGTCCTGCAGTCAGTTGATCTCAACCACATTTCCTGGTTTCTATCAGGCTTTGCAGACTCAGTGCCCCACACTGACCTTGTTCCAGGCTAAATAAGGACCTGATCAGGCTGGGACAGGCTCCTTTAAAAGGTTTGCTGAGCGACGGCCCCTGCTGAGGATGCCAATCCACTTTCTTTACGAGCCACACTTCACCGATTCACAGTTCAGGTTAACATAGATGCTAGGGTTGGAAGGGACCTCAACAGATCATTGAGTCTAACAGTTTATTAGACCTTTAATTGGCCCAGTGTTGTGAAGGAGGTCGGGTTGCCCTCATTTTAAATGGTATCTTCATGAAAAAGGGTCCAACTGATCTCGGGTCAGGGGAAGCAAAGTCTCTCATTTCTGCAAAAATAAGCTGAAGTCAGCAGACCGAGCTCTGCCTTTCACTTGTATGTGGCAGGCAACGATGGAGTTCACTGTAGCCCGAGGCAGGAAGCAAATATCCCTGGAGTGGAAACCGGCAGTCTGCCCCGATCAATGTGCTGAGTGGGCGAGGGCTTTGGGGAAGCTGTGGTCACCTTCTCATGCCTGTGCATTGTTTGGCTTCTTTGCTCGGGGGATTCCCATTGCTGGGGCTTTCAGGGCTGAATACTATTAATTATTATGCTGTATGATGGTTTTCACAATCAACAATACAGAACTAGCCTCAGTATAGCAGTGGCAGGGAGATGCCAATGCAAATGAGACCATGGAGAACGCGTAGGACATAAAAGAGGCTGGGCATAGAAGAGGAGAAATTGCCCTCTCAGCTCCTGTTGCAGTGTAGTGAATGCCTAGAGCACAGGGCTCGACAAAATCCTCTGCTGCCTGCCGTGGAGCTGCAGCAGGGACGGCTGCAGTCTACCGAGCTTGGGCTCATGAAAGCTTATACTGCACGTCTCTGATTCAGTCAGTCTATGGGCGCATCTACATGTGTGCTAATATACCTTAACTAAGTGTGCCCAAATTTGATACCTGCATTTGCAGGTACCAAATTTAGATATAATGAGCCTGAAATCACCATTTTTAATGCGCATTAAGGGTGTGCGTGTGTAGACGTGCACCCTTAATGTGTATTAAATTAGGGTAATGTGCATTACCATGTCTCATGTAGATGTGCCCTATCAGGTGCAAATCTAGCCGCCGTCTAGGCTAACATGGCTACTACCTACCTCCCTGTGCACTCTAGGAAGTCAGTGGAGCTGCACCAGGGATGAAGCTGGTCTATTATTGCAGAGAAAGGAAGATAAATAGCAGAATAGGAGACCACCAGCACGCTCAGAGAGCCGGCAATAGGTATATGCCCCATCTTGCAAGCAAAGGTATCATACTGATTTTCTACATGTAATTCACTGTGCCTTGCAACAGCTAGCTAAGGCAGGCAGAGAGCTTGGGAAGCCATTCTGCAGATGGGAATACTGAGGCATTAAATGATTTGCCCACGGTAAAATAGAGCTGGGGTGAGGAGCAGGAAGCCTTCCTGCTTTGTCTGTCTCTTTGAGGCAGAGCTCTGACACGCAGCCCCCCATGGAGAGAGCCATGCTGGGAGACTCCTGGACTCAGCAGGGACTTCCCTAACTCAGCTTGCTCATGTCCTTGCATTTAGCTTTCAGTATTAAGATATGGCTTTCTTTCCCTGCATAGTCCCTCTCACTTGAAAAGCTGAAAACGCTGTATAGCTCTTCCTCAGCAAGGATCATAAAATGCTTTGCAGACGACGTGGGCGAAATCCTAACAGCACCACAGAGAGGACAGAGACTCGCACACCCGCCGGCTGGTTTCACGAGTGTTTGCGGAGGGCAGAAGGGTGGTGAAAAGCCAGGAAGCTTGTGGACTCCAAAGAGGAGCCTTCTCCCAGCCCACTCCTTTCCCTCTCCCTCGCTCAAACTTCTGTCTCTTCTACGTTTGAGCCAGGCAGGGTCCAGCTGCCAGTGGGTATCAGAGCACAGGTGAGACAGGTGTGCAGTGCCTGGCCCCCATCAGCTGGAGGTGACCAAACCAGTAAAGTCCATCTGAGTCCCTGTAGCTCGGTGTTGAGGGACCCTGGGGATGGTATATGAGCAGGCCGGTAGCCCTAAATGCCCACAGGGAATTCTTCTAGCTGTTGAAATCTCTGCTGAGCATCCGCACACTGAGATTTTACAAAGGTTTTCTACTCGGTCCAATTTGGGCAAGCTCTCACAGGAGGAAGGAAACGGGCACGTCCCTATCACAAATGCCACCCGCTGGCCAGGTTTTGGGTGCTTTCTCCGAAGCGTGCGGGTGCTCAAAGACAAGGTCACAAGGATTGTTTTTGAACGGTAAAACAGCACGTTATTCCTTTATCTTGTTTCCGTGTGTCGCTCTATATGAATTGCTCATATAGTGATTGCCTGATACTTCCCATTATCGGGCCCTGTTTCCAGTTGCTGATAATACTGTGTTGCAATGCCCCAGGTCGGGGGTCTGTCTCAGGATGAATATCTTCTGAAAATGGCAGCCAAAATTAATCACTTGTGTCCCAGAACAAGACGAAGACATGACAATGTTTCTCAAGAATTATGAAGAAAGGCAGAAAGAGTTAGCATTGTTTAGCCTGGAGAAGAGAGGAGATTTCATAATGGTCTTCCAAGACCTGAAAGACAATTATATGCAGCCGAGGAAATGTAGGTTGGAGATTAGGAGGAACTGCCTAACTCCGAGGGTGGTCGAGCATTGCAACCGGCTGCCTAGAGAAGCTGTGGACTCTCCATCCTTGGACGTTTTCAAGAGCAAGTTGGACAGACGCTTGGCTGGGGTGGTTTAGTCAGGGCTGATCCTTCTCTGAACAGGGGGGCTGGATTAGATAAGGTCCCTTTTCAGCCCTGCTTTTATGATCCAATAATCATACGTTAGGAATAGTCACTGAACAGCAGCTTTCTCTGGTTTGGGACATAGATGACCCTGGCATATTGTGACACCGCACAGTTGTATGGAAGACAGAAGAGAGGATGGATGCTGTGTCGATTTGGAGCCGCAGGAAAACTGGGGAAGAATGGCTATCGCTTCAGATTTCAGAAGCTTACTATGCCTTTGGGGTGAACGCTTGTGTTTCTTGCAGGCAGGGCCATGGGATGCAATGCGTGGGAGCAGCGTTGTAAATCCTAACACAATGATCTCAGCTCTAGTTCTACGGGAAATCTCGAAGTGGGCTGTTGGGAGGAGAAAGCGGGACAAAGCCACCCTGGTCGGGAAGGGCTAGAGAAGCAGAGAGGCGCCCCAAAGAAGGAGGGAAGGGAAAGGGGCAGCATCTGGCACGGGAGGGGAGCAAGGGCACCGGGGACCTGCTAAGCGGCAGGACTGGAATAAGTGACACCACACAGGCTGGTTTCCATCAGTGCTGAATACTGGCTGATTATTGCCCCTGAGAGCAGATGACAGCTCTTTTCACAGGGAAGAGGTCTGCTTTCTGTTGTGTTTCATCTCTAGAGATTTAATTTTGCTTCTTTTTCCCCGTATTTATTTCCAAACTACAGCCCCAATCTGGAGCGGCTCCTTGCTGCAGGTTTTCTGTCTGTCAAAGGGACACCGGGTCTAGGATTTGTCTTACATGGCATGTCTGTGCCGCCAGCTGCACTGAACCATTCAATAAGCCCATTTCTCCTGGGGACCCTTTCCCAGACCACAGATCTTGTAAACAACTTCAGGGAGTTAAAACAAATCAAAGCACTGAAAGGTTGTCTCCTGCTGCCCTCTCCTGGGTTTCTGAAAGATAGCAACCCCAGAGCTCCCATTTCCCCCTCTTCTTTGCCCATAAACAAGCCTCACGTGTCATTGAATCATAGACCCACAGGCCCTGGGGGAGGGAAGGGAGCTCAGGAGGTCACATCCAGTCCAACCCCCTGCTCGAAGCAGGACCAGCCCCAACTACATCGTCCCAGCCAAGGCTTTGTTGAGCCAGGTCTTAAAAATCTCCAAGGATGGAGACTGCACCACCTCTCTGGGGAGCCTGGTCCAGTGCTTTACTACTCTCCTCTTGAGAGAGTTTTTCCTAATATCCAACCTCAATTTCCCTTGCTGCAGCTTGAGCCCTTTGCTCCTTGTCCTGTCATCTGCCCCCACTGAGACCAGCCCAGCTCCATCCTCTTTGCAGCCCCCCTGCAGGGAGGTGAAGGCTGCTATCAAATCCCCCCTCATTCTTGTCTTCTCCAGACTAAACAAGCCCAGTTCCCTCAGCCTCTCCTCACAAGTCATGTTCCCCAGCCCCTGAACCATTTTTGTTGACCTCTACTGGACTCTCCAATGTTTCCACATCCTTTCTGCAGTGAGGGGCCCACAGCTGGACACAGGACTCCAGATGTGGTCTCCCCAGTGCTGAATAGAGGGGAAGGATCACTGCCCTCGATCTGCTGGCAACGCTCCTCCCAATGCAGCCCAGGATGCCGGTAGTCTTCTTCACAATGAAGGTGAACCTCCCTGCTGTTATGAGTTGCTCATTCATGTCAAGAACAGCCCAGGTTAATTGGTATGAAAGAAATGGGATTGCCTGGAGAAGAGAGGTCTGAAGGAGAATGTGGTAACAGCCTGCAAACACTTGAAGGGGGCGTTTAAAGAGGAGGGTGATCAACAATTCTGTGTCTGCAGATGATAGGACAAGGAGCAATGGTTTTAAATATTTTTAAGGGAAATTAAGGTTGGATAAAAGGAAGAATTTTCTCACTCTGAGGGTGGTTCAGCACTGGAACAAGCTGCCCAGAGAGGTTGTTGCATCTCCATCCTTGGGGAGTTTTAAAAAGCAGGTCAAACAGACACTTGTCTGACATGGTTTCGATAGGGATAACTCTGTCAAGAGCAGGGGGTTGGATGAGATACGACCTCCCAAGGGGCCTGCCAACCTCATTTTCTATTATTCTAGTTTGGTGGGTCTCAATGTTTTTAGATTCAAGCCTCCCCGCCCCCCGTGCACTGGATAGATGCCAGATTGAGCAAACATTTGTTGAGTTGGGAGGATTAGTGTAACTCATGGCGCCTTCTGGGAAGCACCATGAGTTAGATTGGGGAGCTGCACTTCTGTCTGCACCTTATGAGAGCTTGCCCTCACTTGATGCAAGGACTAGGGAAAGCACCTCAGGCCACAGGGTTTCAACAAGTGATCTACAGGACTGAGGAAGGAATTCCCCACCCTCCTCTCCCCAGTTTGCAGTTGGCTAGAGGCAGTCTAATTTTTCCCTTGCTGCTCCTCCATCTTCCTCTGAAGCATCAGAGAGTGACTCAGGTAGAGAAGGGACTCTGGACAATCTCATTGACAAATTTTCTGACATAGGGATGTCCAGTTTCTTAGCAGCTGCGGGCCACACACTATAGGGGTGGCACCAGTGGGGCTGTTGCCACCTCTCACCACCCTGGCTATGGGGGGCCGATGCCCACCCACCTCCTCGATTGTGAGTTGCCTGGCTGCACCATGTTGCTGGCTCTCCCTGGCACTGCAGGCTATACTGAGCCCCATGGCTCTACCCTACCCTGTCTTGCCTCGTTCCCTGGGGCAGGACCTGAAAGCCAGAGAAGGGAGGGGGATCTCAGAGACCCCCAACTGCTGCAGCAGTAGATGAAGTGATGAGGAGAGCAGTGGCCAGAAGGAGTCTGGGGCTGCAGTTTAATCCCTTGGCCCATGGGCCATCAGTTGGACAACCCTGCTCTAATGTGAGAAAGAATGACAGCTTGCAGATGCCAGTCTGGTGGGTCTTGTTCACATGCTCAGGGGCATCAGAGCCACCACATTTGGGGTCAAATAAGAATTTGTCAGATTGTGGGGTTTTCCCCTTCTTTTGCTGGGATCAATTCCTTGTCATTGCAGAGGCCACAGCTGGTCTCACCTGCTCCCCACAGTTCACAGGAGTTTTGAGGACTGAAATGCTTTGGTCTTGCTGAAGTCTTTGGGCTCAGCACAGGGGTATCTGGATGAAACTCAGTGGCCTGTGATACTCAAGTGGTCAAGCTAGATGATGTAATAGGCCCTTCTGGCCTTAAACACTTTGCAACCATCAGTCTGGCCTTGATACTTGAGCCGTGGGATGAAAACCCTGGCCGTAAAGAGTCGTCATTTGGGTTTAGCTGCTTACCTTCAGGCACCCAAGCGTGGTTTTGCTTTGCCTCTGTATTTTGCCATGTGTGAAGCAGGGATCTGTAATGGCCCCAGCTGTTTCTCTGCAGAAGCTGCCGTCTCTCTGACAAAGACGTCCTTCCTAGCAGGAATGCGTGCGTCTCTTTGCACTTACTCATAGCAATACACTTTAGAGAACAAATGCTTCGCTCTCCCTGGGCAACATCCTTGCAGATGGCGGCAAGTACATTCATTACCTTTATTTTTAGCCACCCGACCTTTTGAAGCCTTCCAATCTCCAGCCAAGTGCCAACCTCATTAAAGCCCATTCAGAAGGCTTATTAAGGCCTGAGTCCAGTCCTGTGAGCAGCTCTCTCGACTTTAGCAGGGACTTCACTTGCTGAATTTAAGCTGAGCACCAAGGAGCATCATGGGTTTTTTTTTGGCTGATGTTTCATTCCCACCATCTGCATTCACTTCACAAGAAACCTTTCATTGTCCAGCTTCAAGATGGATAAACCGAAAAACCTTCTGCAGGTCAGGACAAGCCAAAGTTTGAAAGCTTTCAGGTTGCAGAACCCCACAGAAAGCACATGGGAGGAATGGAAAAAGCATGGGCCTCTGAGGAGGGAGAAAGAGGGCAGAAGCACGATAGTCTTGCGCAGGGATACCCCGTACAACTAGGTAACGCTAGAGTAGGGGTAGGTTTAGAAACGGCACGTCCATTGGAGCCATTGGTTTTGCACAGTTGACCACTGACCCCTGCCTGCTTCAGCTATTTGAGCTAGGGTTGGCAAGCCAGTCAACTGACCGGTCAAATTTTGCCAAGTGACTGGTCAGTTGACTCCATATTTTTGACCGGTCACAGATTATAGCAATTTTACAAAAACACCTTTGCACTGTTTTGTAGTTTTCTTGACAGAAATCTGATTTTTTATTGTTTTTTGACACGTTTCTTAATGGAAAATATGGGCTTATTGGCAACTTTTTAGAATTTTTGACCAGTCAATTCAGTCAAATACCCAACCCTATTTTGAACTAATCCAATGTAGCCTCCGGTCAGACGTGCCAGATGGGATCAGATCCGCGGTACGGCCAGCCTTGATTTCTGTCTCCAGCGTGCTTCCAGGTGAAGAATGCCCACAGTGGGCAGATATGGGTTCATCTGCCCCATGAAGACCTCATCCTCCACCCTTATTGTCAGAGAGTGATTTAACTCCCAAAGTGCGAGGACCTGCAGTTTTCAAGGGGACCATAAAAGTGATAATAGGCATTGTAGGCTTCAGACAATGGGAGTAAATCCTGGATCCCTCCCTGGAAAAGGGGCAGAGCGCGTAGAGTTGGGTACCACTGACTCCTGATGACAAAGGCCCCAAGCAAGTGAGCTGTTACATCTTCCAATAACTAGAGGCAGTTTCCAAAGGTGCCTCATTAGAAACAGAACCTCTAATTGCTTTTCCTTCGTAGAGTCTATAGAAGAAAAGCACAATTCAGGCCCATTTTGCTCCTGACCTCATGCCTCTGTATGGCAGTCGCCCAGAATGATGGCTTTCATTCAAAGCAGCCTGAACGAAGAGTACATTTTCTCCTACTTAAATGTATTCTGTCTTTCTTCCAACCTGCTCAACGATTTCTGCTGACACATGAAACTCCTCCTCTTTCTTTTATTGCGTTTTCATCTTTTCAGGGCATCTTCAAAAGCCCTCTTCATTCCCTATATGTCCTTGACAGCAAAGGATGATCCAGTGTGTCCTGTGCTGGTGGAAATGATGCTCGATCAAGCCAGATGAGTTTAGCTACTGCCTTGTGACCCTCCAGAAAAAGCTGTGCTGCTCTTTGTGGTGGGCGCTCTCCTTCCTGACGAAATTCAAGCCCTGCTCTGGTGAGGGCAAGTTTCTTTAGAAGCTCAAAACCGACTTTGTACATGGTCTCGTTACCTAGGTAGATGGAGCTCCTTCCACAGAGCCAAGTCTGAGTCAACCCCTTTCAGGGTGTTAGTAATCTAATGTGGTCCTAAGGTATTTGCTGCTATGAGAAAGGCCTTCTCTCAGACATGATGCTAAATGGAGGCCTGGATCATTCACAGCTCTGCACATGGTTTTGTCTGGACTAATTAGCTAGGAGAAGAGAAGACAGAGGGTGGATTTAAAACCAGCCTTCAAATACACAGAGGAGGGTTATAGAGAGGATAGCAACACTACTCTTTGTGGCCACATTGGAGGGGACAAGGAGTAATGATCTTAAATTGCAGGAAGGAAAATTTAGGTTAGCTATGAGGAAGAACTTTCTCCCAGTAAGGATGGTTTAAACTGGGTGCATCTACACATTCATTAATGCACTGTAGTTATTATGCATTAAGTTCAGTGTTTGCATAACCAAGTACTAAATCAATGCGCAGTAACTTGCACTACTGCGCAGTAGTGCTGGCGTGCATATTTTTAGTGACGTTTACTGTGCAGTAGTCTAATACTACTGTGCAGGAACGTATTAGCACGGTTTTTGCCCGCCACGCTACTGCACAGTGTTATTAGGCTACTGTGCAATTTGTGTCTCATGTAGACATGCCCACATCGAAACAGATACATAGAGAGACTGGAATCTCCATCCGTGGGAGTTTTTAAGAGCAGGTTGGATGAACACTTGGTTGGATGAACATTTGTCTGGGATGGTTTAGTCAGGGCTGATCCTGCCTTAAGCAGGTACTTGGGCTGGATGTGACCTTCTGAAGGCCCTTCCAGCATGACTTCTCTCTGATTTGAGAGAAGGCCAGAACTGAAGGAAGATGTGGGTCTTCCAATATCTTGTCAAGAGTATTTGGATGGGGATGGAAGGTCTGTTCATATAAACCAACGGGTGAAGTGTGTATGTAGGATTAAGGGTCTTAGTAATAGGATATTTAACCTGTCCACTCTAGGCTGAGCGTTATAGGAACTTGGACCAAGAGTCTTGTACTGCTGATGGCTGTTACCTGGGCTGTAGGAACTGAGCTGCCCGTTTCAGTTCAATTTTCTACATCACAAGTAGGAGTAAGAGTCTAGGGAGCGAGCCAGGACTTGCATGTTCCACGGACGCTTATGGCCCATTTCCCTCTGGCTGTACCAGTAACCCTGGTCAGTCAGCAGCGCAGTCCATCAGTGGGGGGTCATGTCACCTTGCTCCATCCCTGACAGTGGGTATGTCTACACATGCAAATGATCTGGGAGCAGTTTACACTAGAGTAAACTCTCCTGGGCAGGCATCTACACATGCAGAGACTCAGGAGCAGATTTGCTGCTCATGGCAGCAATCTGATCCTGCCCCTGCTGGTGCTGCACTGGCCGCCTGCAGCAGCCAGGGAGAGCTCTAGGTACCCCCTCGGTGCTAGCACAGGGCCAGGAGATAGCTGTCTCCTGGCGGGTGCTGGGACATTTCTCTCTGTCCCTGGGGGGCTGCCTGCTGCCAGACAGGGGTCTGCCAGTGAAGTCTGGGCAGGGACAATGTCCACCTCCCCCAGCAGAAGGGAGCTCCTGGCCCCGGCTCCCTCAACAGGAGCAGAGGACTTGGAAAGAGCTGCAGAGGAGAGACAGGTCCTAGCCTCCTGCCCTGATGGGGCAGCTAGCAGCAAGCCCCTGGCTGCGTGGGGATTCCTGCCAGGACAGGGGGACATTGTCCCCACCTGGGCGCTGGTGCTGGAGCCCACCCCAGCAGCAGGCAGCAGCCGGGGCCAGGGAGCAATGTCCCAGCCCAGAGCCAGCTGTCTCCTGGGCCCGTGCTCCTTGCCAGCCCCTGGGCTAGCACCAGGCAGGGAGGGGCAGGGGGAGCCTAGAGCCACATTTGCTCCCAGTCAGGGGCCTACCTGTGCACTACTGTGCTGTAATTACTTGTGAGTAAATTGGCTACTTGCATTTGCAGGTAGCAAATTTACTCACGCTTAGAGCTAATTATGGTGGAAGAAGCATCTGCATGTGTAGACAGTGACACTTACTGTGCAGTAATTAGCTCTAATCCTGAGTAAAGTGTCTTGTGTAGACGCACCCAGTGTTCTGGGAAGGCATAAGAGAGGCAACTAATTGTTCCAGCACTGAGTTTGCTTAGCACTAATTGAAAAGGGAGATCTCAAACTGTTCTCTGCAAGCAGTTTCAGGCGCTTCCTTCTACGGACAATCCTACTCCTTCCTTACCAGCCACAAGAGCAAACTGCGGGGCATCGTTTCATGCTCAGGCGGGTCTTTGGAAGTGCAGGGCACTCTCTCGGAGCAGCGTGCTGCTATTAACGGGGAGGTAGGTGTCCTTGTTGCCCATCTCTGTAGCTTAGAGAGTCCTTGAGACTGTCACTGAGACATCTGTGTCCACACCAGGATTTATCACTTGCTGGTGTTCAGGTCTGTGTTCTGGGTATCTGGCCTGTCAGCATCCCGCCTGATAGCCTTGATTCCCCGCTGCCCCATCCATAGCCAGATCAGACACTGATTTTATCATGTCATTTCTTCAAATAGGAAAAAGAATAGCCAAAGGTGCTTTTTGTTCTCTGTAGTAATAAGGCCTGCAACATTCAAGTTCCTGCCTGGCATCATTGCAAGATGGCCATGGGAAGGGATGTGTGACCAGAATGGTCCTCTTCTTTTGGACATGCTTTATATTGGGCTTCCATATTTAAATAGCTTTAAAAAATGTTAATTAATGTTTTATGAACTATAACAATTAACCAGAGGCCAACTGGCTGCTAGCCACCTGTGGCACTTTCTACTTGCATATAATGGACATACTGCCTGTAATGTGCTGACATCTATTAATAGTGTATTGACCCTTTAAAAAAGGAAACAACATTAAATATGAGCCCTTATTTAAGGGTTTTATGTTAATTACTAATAGGGACAAGGATGGAAATGCAGTGAGAGGTCTAACCACTAGACTACAGTCATGTTGCTTCGTGGACCAATGGATATATAGCTATTCCATGCAGAGTGCAAAAGGGTCAACAGCAAGGGTGGAAAGGACCAGGATCCTATTAAATAGCCAATACTCTGGTGGCTGGAACAGTCACCAGGAAGGTGGGAGATGCAGATTCAGGTCCCTTCAAGCCGTGGAGAGCATTGAGCCCCTGTTCATCCTGGGTGAGGGCTCTGACTATGGGGCTTTAGGTTACTTGCATCACCCCGTCCTCTGGCCATTTTGTGAGAAAGCTCCTGTGACAGCTGGAGGGTGTTCCTGGCTCTGTGTCTCCAGAGAAGACCTTTGTCCGCTTGCAGCCCTGAGAAAGATGCCGAACTCTCCAAAGAGCATTTCCTCTTGCTCCATGTGCTGGCGTCTGGGATCTCTCACCCCCCTGTGCTGTGCAGGGGGATCCTGGTGCCTAACCCGCTGCAGAGAAGTCGTGCAGGCAGCAAGGTGCCTGGAGCGAGGCAGCGTCGCATCACTTTGCAGCACCCAGGCCTGGTTGTGGCTCTAGCCTGCCTGCCCCCGCGGTGGTCCGTCAGCATTTGCCGCGATTGTCCCCAGACAGGCGCGTGGGGATTTGCCGTGGCTTCGGCTGCCCAGCAAACCTGTTGATTTGGAAGGTCCTGGACTTGTCCTGTCCTTTTCTCTGCCCCAACCCTGCCGTGCTGGCATGCTCACCCCTTCATGCACAGATGACCTCAGCTTCCACTTCTGCATCTCTGCCTCCACCCTCACCCCTCCTACCCTGCAAAGGGATGATGGATCCCAGCAGCTGCTGCTGAAATCTGCCAGCCGGACAAGACATCTCACCCGCGATGCTCGGGCAGCAGTGACTCTGCAAGCCCCGGCATCTGGGTCCCTGCTGATGGATGGGCTCAGCTGCAGCGGGGAGCCTGTCAGAGCTGTCTCATGCCATGGCTGGCACTGGCGATGGGGCTGCTCTACTGGAGGATCATTGCTGCCTGCTGCTGAAGGACGTCTGGAAGGGTTCAGAGATGCAAGAAACCCCAGTGGGCATCTGCAAATTGCCAGCTTGGGAGCCCAGCACATGCTCCGTCCCATGCCAGCCATAAGGAACAAAGCTCTCGTGGGAGAGATCAGGCCAGAGCCAGGCAGGCCAGCTGTAGAGCCTGCAGGCATGATGGCTTCGGTCTGCGGCCTGTCCCCATCTCCCCCATGCACCTGGGCTCTGAGCAGGATATCAGGGATCCCCGAGTAAACCAGGAGCAAGCTACAGCCTGCCAGAGGCAAACAGTGCATCCTGATTTCTCTCTCCACATCCAGCACCTTTCTCCTTTCTACTCCTCCAAGAGACCTCACTTCTACTGGCACCAGAGCTTTCCCCTTGGAAATCAGGCAGGCCCTTCCCAGGTCACTGCCGCAGTGATGATTCAGCTTCCATTTCTTCCCTCCCTTGCTTTTTCCTCTTCTGCTAGTAGGGTCAGCATTGCAATCAATTCACCTTGCCATCGCTGCTCACCGCTGGGCTTTGCAAGGACGTCCAGTACTGCTACTTCCTGCCCTGCGTCATTCCTGTCTGGTTGGTACGGAGGATCAGCTATGCAAATGGTACCGATCAGAAACCCATTACCGGCTCGGTCCCTAAATGCGTAGCATTAACAGGCAGTCTGCAGTAGAGGGAAGTGTGGAGCAGCAGCTCGAGCCCTGCGGCACTGTGACTCGGAGTAAAGGACCCTGTGATGGAAATCCAATGCGTTGTCACAAACATTTCCAGTTTGGAGATGCAAAAAAAGGAGCAAAAAAAGGTTCACTAGAGCCTTCTAGGCAGCAGCTGTGGTCCCAAGGAGGGGTTTATGGATCTGGTGTGTGGTTATTAGCCAGACCTATGCATGCTGTCACTAGTGCCAGGACTCTGGAAACTTGTGGGTTTATTTTTTATCCTTTCCATTTCCTAGTTTTCTCCTGCTTGTCACGTTGTGCGCGGGACAGGGGGAAGTCTCGTTCCCTCGGGAACCCAAATTCATCACGGTCTCGCGGTGCTGAAGAGTTCTGAAACTGCTGTGGCCAGACCGGGAACGGGTGGGTATGATGGGACTCAGCTAGGGTTAAACAGAAAAGACAGAAAAATGTGTTTTGCCCGGCAGATCGAGAAGCTCAGCTGGCAATGGATGCTTCTGGGCGCTGGCAGGCAAAGTTAGCAGCAGGAGAACAAGAGGTCTCCGAGTCCCTGGGTGACTCCTGTGCTTGGCTGGCCAACACGAGTCTCTCTCTATTGCCAGCGCTCGGCAGACCCACTTCCCTGCTTTGCCGGAGTCTGGAGACCCTGAGCCTTTGCCACTCTGCTCAGTCGACGGCTGTCCACATCTGTGCAGAGCTGCAAGCCAGCAATGCCAATCTTCCAGGCCTTTGGTTGCCCGTAATGAGTGCATCCTCTACCCCACAGCGCCTTCCTCCATGCCAGTCTGGGACCCACCCGCGGTCTCCCCTAGCATGCCTCTTTTATACTTTTAGGGCTGGATGGAGCTGGAAATGGCCAGCTTCTTGCCTTTAAAGGGCAGCTGTCCTATTCTAATGTGGGGAAAGGGGGCTTCATCACAGACAGGGGCTGTCTTTTCCTCCTCTTAACAGTATCTAGCCCCACAAGACCCCAAACCAGAATTGGGGCTCCTAGACCCTACAGCAAGACCGACAAATAACAAATTTCCCCTGCAGCCCCAAAGACCACACAAGGTGGGCATAAGAAATTGCCCTTGCTTGAGGACCGAGTTTTTCCATTGCCGTCCTCTCCGGTTGGAGTCAAGGCCGTGCAGAGAGCAGAGAGGAAACATTTTGTTTTGCAAGATCTTATTAAAAATCCAGCCGCACATTTAGGTCACTTGGAAGCTGCTCCGATTGATATTGAACTCTGACTGCCGGTACATTTAATGGAGCTCGCAGCAGCGTAGCATTTCTATATTTAGGCACTTATGTCATTGAGAAGGACATGATATATTTGGAGATACTTAAGGCATAGCTCAAGCTTGCAAGCTTGCAGCTGAATTGCTTTTCCTACCGTCCGCAAGGTGTTTCTGGGAACTTTCCTCTCCCCAAGCCCGTTACCCTCCGCACTGCTACAACGCCTGTGCTTTGGTGTTTTGGGTCTGCTGCTTCAGGGAATAACTTGACATATTTAAAACCTGACAGGGGTATTTGAGTCTTAAAAACACCTTCGTTTTACTCCGAGTCCAGTTCAAGATTTGTTTGCTTGACAGAGAAAATGTCACCAGTGCCTCCTGGGGAGGTGTTTCAATGCAAAGAGCGCCGGGCTGGGACCGGGGACAGCTGGGTTCATTTCCCAGCTCAGATGCCCTGCTGGGACCAGTGGTGTGACCATTATGAAGTTATGTCTCTGTTGTGTGCATTCATTTCTCCTGCCTCCCTCCGCTGGTCTGGTATTTGGACCGCAGGGTCTTCATGGCAGAGGTTTTCTCTCTCCCGACAGGTGAACGCAGCAAGGGCCTGATCTCCTGCAGGATTGCCCTGGGCATGGTGCTTAGTCGTGCCCCTGGGGAAATAAGCCTCCTCCACATGCCCACTGGGAATGAAGCAGTGAGCGCACATCCAGGGGGTCCCCCGCGCTGCCCATCACGAGCACGCAGGAAGCTCAGGTTTGCAGCGTGGCGCTGGAGTGCACCAGGGTTTCCTCCCTGCCTCCTTTCCAGGGTCGAGGTGCAGAGCAGAGACCGGTGGGTGAAGCTATTTCTGCAGCGGTCTCTGCCACCTGCCCTTATTTAACACAGAGGCCACTCTGCTCTCATCCCAACCCCCATGCTTGGCTGAGCTGAGCCGGGCTGCAGCCAAGCGAGGCTCACGGGAGCCTTGGCACATCCCCATCGGGAGAGCTGCATTTGGACAACCCGCACCCAGGAGCCAGCAAACAACTGTAACTGGGACAAAGCTGAGAGACACGGGGAGCCTCCCCCCAACTCGTAGCTTGGAGGGACTTGTTTTATAAGCAGGATTCAATTATTTGTTTGCTGCCCATAAGAGCTTTCCCCAATTGTATTCTAGGGACCAGCATCCAGGATTGAATAGACGTGGAGGAGACATTTCAGCTCCTTTCGTAAATCAAATCTCGCTTTCCTTATTCCATTTGGGGAGCCAGAGAAAAACTAGAAAGTAATGAACAAAGCTTCCAGACGCAAGGTTCGTCTTCCAGGCCTCGTGGAAAATCAGCCTCTTCATCCAGCGGAGACTGCCGTGGGAACCCTTTTGCCTGAACGCTTTGCCCCAGCAAAGCAGGAGCCGTCCAAGGAGCTGCGGCCCGTGATTGGGACGATAACCGTGGGGCTCCTGTTGTTCATCGCGGCGGTGGTGGCGTGGTGCTACTACACGGCGTCGCTCAGGAAGGCGGAGCAGCTGAAGACGGAGCTGATGGACTTGAGGAAGGACGGCTTCATCATCAAGAACCAGGACGGGGAGGTGGTCTTCAGACTGGCCTTCCAGTCGGGCACCCTCGACCTGGAGTCCTGCTCCAAGGAAGGGGAGATCTTAACCTGCACCCGGTCGGACAAGGGGAAGCTGAACTTCTTCATCCAGACCGTCAAGCACAAGGACACGGTGATGTGCTACCGCGTGCGCTGGGAGGAGTTCGTGGCCGACACGGTGGTGGAGCACACCATGTTCTGGGAGGACGCGCACTGGTACGGGGGCTGCGAGATGAGCGTGCAGCACTGGCCCATCCGGCTCCCGGGCTACCAGGAGCCCACGCCCTTCATGACGAGCGACGTGTACTCCTTCCGGGACAGCTTCGGGGGCATCCTGGAGCGGTACTGGCTGTCCTCGAAGGCGGCCGCCATCAAGATCAACGACTCGGTGCCCTTCCACCTGGGGTTCAACGCCACCGAGCGGTCCCTTTTCTTCCAGGCCCGCTACAAGGATTCGCCCTACAAGCCTCCCCTGGGGCAGCAGCCCTTCCCGGAGCTGAGCTACAGGGTGTGCGTCGGCTCGGACGTGACCTCCATTCACAAGTACATGGTGCGGAGGTATTTCAACAAGCCGTCCAAGATCCCGTCGGAAAACGCCTTCCGCTACCCGATCTGGTCCACCTGGGCCCTGTACAAAAACGACATCGACCAGGACAAGGTTCTTGATTTTGCGGGAAAGATCAAAGCGCACGGGTTCACGTGCAGCCACATCGAAATCGATGACATGTACACGCAAGCTTACGGCGACTTCGACTTCGACCCGGGGAAGTTCCCCAACGTGACGGGCATGTTCCGAAAACTGAAGGAAGACGGAGTTAAAGTTACGCTCTGGATTCATCCCTTTGTACACAGAGAGTCCGCCAACTTTGGCGTGGGGATAGAGAGGCAGCTGTTCATCACGGAGCCGACGGGGAGACTCCCCGCCATGGTGGAGTGGTGGAACGGCATCGGGGCCATCCTGGACTTCACCAACCCAGCGGCCAGGGAGTGGTTTCAGAGCCACCTGCGGCAGCTGCGCTCAAAGTACGGCATCTCCTCCTTTAAGTTCGACGCCGGAGAGACGAGCTACCTCCCGAAGCAGTTCAGCACCTTCCGGCCCTTGTCGGACCCCAGCATCTGGTCCCGCCGGTACACCGAAATGGCCATCCCCTTCTACGAGCTGGCCGAGGTTCGTGTCGGCTACCAGTCCCAGAACATATCGTGCTTCTTCCGCATCATCGACCGCGACTCAGTGTGGGGCTACGAGCTCGGCCTCAAGTCCCTCATCCCGACTGTGCTCACCATCAGCATGCTGGGGTATCCTTTCATTTCGGCGGACATGATCGGGGGCAACTTTTTCCCGAACAAGACAGAAGGAGCGGTTGAAATCCCCGACCGGGAGCTGTACATCCGCTGGCTGGAGCTGTCGGCCTTCATGCCCTCCATGCAGTTCTCCATCCCGCCCTGGCTCTACGACAAGGAGGTGATCGAGATTGCTCAGAGGTTCACGGAGCTGCACGAGTCCCTGGTCGCCCCTCTGCTGCTGGAGCTGGCCGGGGAGATCACGGACACGGGGGACCCCATCATCCGGCCCATCTGGTGGATTTCCCCGAGCGACGAATCCGCCCACAAAATCGACTCCCAGTTCCTCATCGGGGACACGCTCATGGTGGCCCCAGTGCTGGAGCTGGGGAAGCAAGAGCGCGACGTGTACCTCCCCGCCGGGAAGTGGCGCAGTTACAAAGGGGAGCTGTTTGAGAAGACCCCGGTCCTGCTGACGGACTATCCAGTCGACCTGGATGAAGTTGCTTATTTCCTCTGGGTGTCTTAACGGGCTCCCCCATCGGCTTCAAGCTTTGCAAGGCTAATGAACTTTATAACCAAGGAAGCGTTTTATGTCCTGAGATCAATACCCCATGCTATGATATTATGGATAGCAATAACCATTGCACAGAGCGATTTCTGAATGGTAATAATCTGGGCACACCGCAATCTTTTTATAAGCATTTTGACACTTAAAATGTCCCTTTCTAAAGCTTGAGCATCTTGGTCTTGGTATCATGTATATGTACAGCATAAGGAAAGCACAGATTCTGCTCGCTATGCTCTCCTCAGAGAGCAATGACTCTGACACTGTTTTTCTTTAAAGGACATTGTGTGGGTTGGTTGGTGACTCCATCGCCCTGCTGATTCAATTTTATTTTTTTGTAATATAAAGTGGCTTTGCTCTCGGTGCTGGCATTGCTTGCAGCAGAATAATTTTTAAGCATGATTCATGCGATACTCCTGCAGAGACAGAGGCTCCTGTCATCAGCTCATGTGACAGGTTTGCAAAAGGTAGCAGAGCCGTGGCTGCAAACACAATGATCTCAGCACGGAGAAGTTAAGGTTGACATCAGTCTCAAACATCTTGCTGAGGGAGATTACTGACTGATCTACCTACAGAAACCCAGCAAGCCTATCTCTGGTGCCAATTTGTTAACCCATGTAATCCACGCCTGCATTTTATTGCCTTTGGAGATTTAATCCCCAAACCAGTGGGATGGAAGGATGTGCTTGAAACTTGTGCAGACTCCAAGTTCAGGGATTTCATTTCTTATATGCGTGAGAGAGCTGCCGCAGGACTCAAGAGACCGGCGTCGTTCCAGACTTTGCCACTGACCTTGGGCATGCAAAGGGACCTCAGGAGACCAACTCGGCCACCTCTCCGCTCAAGACAGGAACAGCCCTGCCTGTGCCTCAGTTTCCCCATTGGTAGAGTGGGGGTAGTGGTGCTGTGCCATTCGATCTAATGATATCCCGTGCTATAAACGAGTGGGGAATTATGGCGACAAACGTAATTTTCTCTAAGACATATCTAGGATGCCTTTATCCTCTGGAAAAGCAATCTGCTCCCCGCTCCATATGCCTTCCTGTGAAATAAACTTTCTGTGAAATGCTGTCCTGCTTGTCCTCACCATTTTCGAGTTGGAAAGATATCGAAATACCGGCAGGGGACAGGGCAAGGGGTGGGAAGACGTTCTTCCCCGCCCAGTGGAAGTGACCAAACCGGATCATATTCTGGGTATATCCTGGCTGGGATCTCTGTTATCAATGCATCCCAAAGGCTGTATCGGCCTTTTTTCAGTGGTAGTTCTGGGTCCTTTCTAGGAAAAAGCACTGTACTTATTTCACATCTCATAGTAGCAACAAGATGTTCACTACCGCTGTGCTGGAACCCAGATATGATGGTTGGGACACGTTTCTTATGGCAGAAAAAAAATCAGAAGCAACACAACAAACAGGACGTGGTAATTTCAGCGCAATGGGATTTCTTTTTTGAAGGGGGGCCTGAACAAAACAGTTTTTCCCAAGCAAGAGACAACCAGATTTTCTTTAGCATGATCTAGCCCCAGGCTCTGCTTTGCAGAGAGCCTCTGTTGCATTTCTGGGCTTTCTTTTTCTTACAGCATTAAGCATATGCAAACCTTCTGCCAGCTGGTTAATGGCAGTAATAAAGACCTGCTTAGGACCTCTGGGTTCCTTCTGGACAAATAATGAAAATGGTTTGAATTCCCACTCAGGAACCTGAGAAAGCAAATACACTTTCCCTGCTTGCCCTGAACAGGCTATACTGCCCTACTCAGAAGCACTTACAAGACTCTGTATTAGCAAGGAAATCTTTTACAGGGGAAAGGCCACGCAATCCTGAACTTGAGAAAACAAAGCAGCCAGACAGGTACTAACTAAAGAACAAAACTCCCCCCATCTCCCTGCCAGGTAGGCAGAGCTCTCCAGACTTCCCAGCTCTTGCTCCGTCCCGCTGCTGAGTCCATGACTCCCCAAATTCACCCTTACAGCGATTATGGTGGCTTCCTAAGGTCCAAAAGAGGAATTGTAGCTCAGCATCCAAGGTAAATGAGGGCTTATATGGGAAACCTGCTCCCCTTTCACTAAGCGGAGCAGCATGGAGCTGGGAAACGTGGCCGCGGGGCGCACAGGAAAAACAGGCAGGTGCTCGTTGAACTGAGAAACGCTCTGTTGTGCGTCTCCTACGCCTCTGCCCTTGACTTCTGGAATTCCTAAAAAAGAGCGAATCAATTTGATGTTTTAAAAAAGTGACACAGGTTTCGGGACTCAGAAGTCTGTCCCCCTGTCTATAGCACTACTTAAAATTTCCTGATCTCTGAACCAAGAGTTCGAGAGTTTTTGCATTTTGTTTTGTCTCAGACCAACACCGCTACCCAATACAGCCCCGAACATATCCTGGCCTTCAGTGTATTTCTCCTCCTGGCAAGCCTGCAATATATGGCCTTGGCAAGGGCAAAACTGTACAGACGGAGGGGCAAGAATGCTTGTGGGTGACACCTTTTATTGGAACGACTGCACGGTTCGTATGGACACAGGCACGATTTCGGGGACCACGATACCATTCCTCAGGCCTCTGAGACAAGCAGGCACAGCTGAGCTGAACAGCAAATTGGACAAAAGCTTGTTAAGCAGGGTCATTATCATCTGTAAAGAGCAGGGGTTAGCAAGTATCAGGAAGATTATAAAGGACCGTGAAGTCATTATCTATGTTAAGTCCCTGGTGCTTCGAGTCCAATAAACTGGTCTGCTTGGGGGCAGATGGCAGGACAAGGAGCAATGGGCTCAAGCTGCAGCAAGGGAAGCTGAGGTTGGATATTAGGAAAAACTCTCTCACGAGGAGGGTGGTGAAGCGCTGGGACAGGCTCCCCAGAGAAGTGGGGGAGTCTCCATCCTTGGAGGTGTTGAAGCCCCGGGTAGACAAAGTGCCCGCATACATGCACGTGCATGCCCCAGCCCAGCAGGTTCATCCATGGGGGAGGGAAGGGATGGGTGCTAGATTGAGGCCCCCACGGTGAGGGGCAGTGCTGCACAGGCAGGAGCAGGGGTAAGTTAAGTGGGGCCCCGGCTGGGTGGGACTTACCTGCTGGGGAGGTGCGCCCCCAAATAGTTTTTTCTCGATCTTCTCCCCACTTCTCTCCCCACAGACTTACCTGCTGGGCGGCGAGGGTAGATCTTGGGTTGCTTTTCAATGCCAAAGGTGATCTCCCACTTAAAAAGGTTGGAGACCGCTGGTGTATACGATCCGTATAGCCTGAGGGTTTTGTTGCGGGGACTGATTGTTGTGGCAGGTCTTGCACTTCTTGCGAAGCTAGGGATGGGTCCCATTCGGTACCTGGTGTTCAGCAGAGAGTTCACTTCTGATGAGTTGGGCAAGGTTAAGGGGCTCTTGGAGGGTCACGAATTGCAGGGTAGGAGTGATTGCGGGTTCGGTGGATGTACATGCCCTGTTCTTCATACACGGGGCTGGAGCAGGACCAGAGCTGGGGTCCGAGCTGCGATGGGAAGGGAAGCAGCAGAGGCTGCGGTGCAGGGGCAGGCGGCAGGGAGAGCAGCATCTGCAGCTCAACCTCCAGCCCCAAACCAGAGCCACAGTCACAGCCTCCCAGCACACCTCTTGTAGTCAAATGCAAGACAGGCGGCTTTTTCCCTATGTTGAATGCTGGCGTGGGATCCTCTCCTAATTCTTCATAGTAGTTGGTGTCTGAGAGTTGGCTGGTAGCCTCACCGATGTAGTCTCCATGGCTGAGGATAACAATAGCTCCTCTGTTGCCCGCTGGTTGGATTGCTACTTCATGGTTGGATATTAGGGACTGCATGGCTTTTTTCTCTGACAGATGGTCCAGAAAGGGAAGTGAGGTAAAGAGATAGAAAGGGCACCGGTTTTATAGGTATTTAGGCACCTAATAGAGGAAGGTGCCCAATGGTACGGTCAGATGTTTCGGGCTTTGTCTGAGGTGTGTCCCCTGGCAGGGATCCTGATCGTGACCTCAAGACCCAAACCAGACAAGAAGTTTGTCATCCCCACCCTTTTGTACAGGTGGGATACTTGGATGACATATCAGCAACACTTAAAAGCAACACTTTAAGCAACACTTAAAATTTTGATTGTCACCATCAGTGATTTCCTTGGAAATTGTGTTAATTAGAGGGACAAAAGAGCAAGCACTGGCTCCAGCAAACACCACCAGCATCAAAGCCAGGTTTATATGGCACCAGCTCCACTGGACGGGACATGTCCCAAGGATGCCTGACCACCTGCTCCTGAAACAGGTCCCATACTCCCTGTGGCAGAAATGCCACCGTCGGTGCTCCTCTCCAGAGATCTGTCTCAGCCAGCCTGAGAGGCTGCGGTTGAATCCCTCACAGCGGGGATCTCCCACCTTGTCTGCAGACAAAAGCCTGGTGCCTCAGATGTGGATTCTCTGGTCACCTGGGGAGGGGGAGGGAAAAGCCCCGCTCAATGGCCCAGGTGAATCTGAAACTGGGAGAGGAGCTTCACCATCTGAAACAGGCTCTCTCCTCATAACCGCTTGCTCAAAGAGTGACCTGCCTCCAGAGGAAAACTCCAACCACCTCTGGATGAAGCGTGTGAGTAAGCTACTCAAGATATTTAGCTTACAGTAACTCAGATGCGTGATCAAAAGGCTACCTCAGCCTTGCTGGTTTGCTCTATGGGATTCCTCTGATATTCCTATGATATTGCTCTACCTTTTACCCTGTTTCCGCCCTACCCCTGTAATCAATAAAGTTCTCCTTGTGACCGGAGTGGAGACTTATTGAGGGGTGGGTCTAAATTATGCCGAGGAGGCCCCTTAGGTCTGTGGACTAAGGGAAACTTTCCTATTAAGCCCCTGACTTGGGGAAGTGCCCCAAGTGCCTGTATTGGGTCTAGCACCCATTGGACGATCAGGCCTGTGTTCTCCAAGGTGCGCAGAGCCAGAAGTGAGTCCAGAGCCTTGGATGGTGGCAGCGGGAACCCCAGGCTAGCGGGTGTGCTCCGGGGAAGGGGTCGGCCGGACGGGAGGCACCCCAGGGAGGCACACGGAGCCTGGAAGGTGGTCGGGCGCAGGGAGGTGGGCTGGCTCAAGGCAGGAGCGCCCCCTACTGGCCCGCCACACAAACCACCCTAGATTCATGCCTGTTTGACCACAGTCAACCAGGCTACATGGTGACTGGGCCCCCAGCCCGCAGCACTGAACCTGACATGGATGAAGCCAGGAGGTGAAGGTTAGGTGCTAAAAAATACCTCCCCCACCCTGTGTGGTCACCAGAAAAGCCCTGAAACCTGGGGCAGCCACCCCGCCCCGCAATGCCCTGCAGCCTGGGAGCAGGAAGCAGAGCCACCCCTCAGCCCCTTTCTCACAGAGGCATAGCTGCAGGTCTGTGCCCCTCCCATGCAGTGATCTCAGTGCCTTTCATCTTCCCTGTCCACACTGGGTGTGGAGCTCGGCTTCAGTCTCCTGCTGCTGGACACAGCTAGAATCAGGAGCAGGTGGGTTGGAAGACTGGGGTCTGTCTGGGACACGATGGAGGAGGTCACCCTGGGCAGAAACACATGCCAGAAGCTCCATAGCTGCAGCAGGATGCAGCCCAGAGTCACTCACCAGGGCAGCTTCACGGGACTGGACATGGGGCATCCCCAAACTGACCTGGGAGCTGCGGTCAGTACTTGGAGTCAGAGTACCGGATCCAGGGGGAGGCTGGGCTGGAATTGTCACTAGGAACTCATGGGCAGAGACCAGGAGTTAGGAGGAGGGATGGGAAGCCCCACACACCAGCAGAAGTCCTTTCAGTGCACCCACCCAGGCCCAGCTCCCCCTGCACTTCCCCTTCTCATTCTCACTTTGCTCACGGTCTCTCTGGCTGGTTTCCATGCAATAAAAATACCCTGGAGCAGGGGTGAGTTAATGCACAGGCTCACAGGGCCACTGCTGGTCAGGGCCCCCCTGGGAACAATGCAGAGGGGAGGCTAGCAGGACCAGGCAGGGAAGGAGCCATAGGGCAAGCCGAGGGCAAGCCCAAGGGCTTCACCTGCAAAGTGTGGGGCAAGGTGAGTGCAGCGCCAAGCTGGGGCTGGACTAGGGGGACTGGGGCCAGGGGGAGCCAGGGAATGGGGTATGTGGCTGGCCCGGGGGTGTGGGGCTGCTTGGAGACCCCTCCACACAGCAGCCCACACTGCCCCCAAGGTCAGCAGTGTGGCAGAAAGCCACCTTTGTTTCTTCCCCAAAAACTCTGCTCTGTGACAATTGTGATTAGGATGGGCCCAGCAGAGGATACATACCTTTACCCTATCTCTTTGGGTAACCTGAGCTGGATACATTCCTGACGGGAGGGGGGAAACCTGCTCCCTCTGCC